TTTTTTATTTATTTTTATGTCGTATAGTTTTTCACTTATAATAAAAAAATTTTAATAAAATATTATCCTCCCCTCAGTCGATTAATGAGGTTTGTGAAACGAAGTATGAAGTAATTACAGATTATAAAAATATATGCAAAAATTTAATACATATTTAAGGAAAATAAAACGATTTTTATAACACTGTTTTAGAGAATTTATTAAAAAAAATCCCTCAAAAAACAAACTTAAATTTTACGATCTACACCATAATTGTAGTCCCGAAAAAGAAATTCTAAATTGCAGTATTGTCTTTTCTATACTTACATTTAATAGAAAAAACATAATAAACTCATTTATATATAAAATCGTTTTAACTATGCATGGAATGCGCGGCATGTAAGTTAATTTTTACCTGCATATGTATATCTAAATTAGATAGAAATTAACAGTGAACTTTAAAAGGACGAGCACATCATGGAAAGGTCGCAGTGTCACAAGATTTTCTACCTGGAAAAGCCCGTCTTTCGATAATAATAATAATAATAAACATCTAAATTAAAAACGAATGTTAATAATAAGAACAAATGTAAAATTCATGACTCCTAAATTTAACATACCCATGTTAAACATAACACAAATAAAGTTGGATATTTATTAAATATAGAAGTACCCGACAAATTTCCGTGTTATGCGACCAACACGAAAGATTTCCGTGTATAGCAATCATTAGTTTTACCATACCATAAGTAACCATAAGTTTTGCGTCAGTCAACTCTATCAGTTACGTATTAGTTACGTATACTCGGTGGTAAAATTGAATGTGAATGATTCTAAGTGATGTTCACCTCATTCACAAAATGAATATAAATAGCAACGCGTGAGGAGTACCATGGCTATATCACATTGTAGGCATTCCATGATGTCCATGGTACTATTCATGGTAAAAGGTGACGTCATCATTTTCCATCAGGTGGGCCGTCATCCAGTTTGGTTCAGTATCCGATGAAAGATTAGTATTAAAGATTGTATTTTGTATTTTTTTATGCAATTTAGAATGGCATACAAGCTAACAACCCAACTGATGGAAAGTGGTAACCGTCGCCTATAAACATAAGCAGTAGTCATAGACATATCAGAGTATACTGTGAAACAGTATACTCTGATATGTCTATGACCCATGATCCCACATCCGTTGCCATTCCTGAGGACTCAGGTGTTATTCTTCTGTACCCTGTAAATTCACTGCCATATCCCTGCCCTTCAAACCGAAACACAGCCATACAAACACAACTACTTCACGGTAGAAACAAGAATAGGACACAAGTGCCTAAGCAAACGACTTTTGTACAAAGTCTCCTTCTGGTAGTCTTGTATATTTCTTTCTTTCCCTTTCATGGGCGTTTTATGAGACGACTATGGAAATTTAATGGAATTTACTGGTCGAAGGATAGACAACAGTGTTCCTCTTAAAACATCACCATAGCCTAACTGAAGTTTCCATCCCTACTACGAGAAGCGTGACAATTACTGACAAAATCCGTCTTATGGGGATGGCCGATGTTCATCAGTGGACAGTTAACGGCTGATATGATGATGATGTTGAATATAATCATTTTTTTTTCAATTCTTCTTCCTCTACTTAGTTACTCTAGTACTGACATAATAAAATAAAATAAAATAGTAAAATCTGCTTTATTATTTTAATCGCCTCTTCTTAATTCCTGACGATGGAAATAAGTGGCTACATTTTATTCTTTCTTTATCACCATATGACAATGTTTCGGTCCATGGTAAATTTTGGCTTGACAATTTCTTTTGTCCCTGTACTATTAATTACCTATTCCGTGTATATATCAACTTATCTATTTTCAAGTCATGTCCTTTGCGGGGTATATACAAAGATCCGCGTGTCAAAATCTAATTAGAAATCGCCAATCGCATTGACCTACTTATGTAGCTTATGCTTTGACTATATTATAGCGAACTGTGGATAGGTATTATATACATGTATTAGTGTCCTGTATAATAATATAGCCAACTTCGGTATTGGGAAATATTGTCAATTCCTATAATTTTATTAACTATTAGTAAAGCAGTGTTGTCCTTCAAACATTCACTAACAAAACCTGATTCTACATCTTGACCACTGTGATTATCTACACTTCTACATTTCCGTGCTAATACCTAATTTTAATAACCTATGTAATTACTTAATACTTGATTTATAATGTAAGTTAGTTTCCTGTAGTTTTGTCCGCGTGAATTTTAATAAAAAATGGTAATCCAATATATGGTTCATCTATGTACCAAACTCCATTTAAATCTGTTAATCAGTTAAAGCGTGATTTAGTAACAAACATACACATTTACAAACTTTTACATTTATAACATTAGTAGGATCATCACATACATCATAATAATATGAAAGTAATGTAATATATGGGTAGTTATGAGGTTAGGACTTGCATAATTTATACTTATGCGAATTGATAAAAGCTATAATTCCTAACAAGCTGCTTTGTAAATTAATAAATATATAATTCTATATCAATATTTTTGTAATTAAACCACAACCTCAGACGACCTGTATAACGCAGGAATGAGTACGTTGCTTTGCCTAAAAGAGGTCTCAGATTCAATTTCCGGTTGAGGCAATTTAGATAACGAATTTTTCTGACTTGGGTCAGGTCTGAGTTATCTACATTGTGCCCCCTATTGTTTGTTGCTTAGTTTTTCATAACATCATACAATCGCCTGGTTTTAGAGCTAGGATACCCTATTCTAACCTAAAAACTAAGTAATTTGCGTGATTTTTTAAAAAGAATAGAGAAAGGAGCCACAAAAATAATGTGCTAGCACAAATAACACTTTTCCATTCGTGTTTCTGTAAAAAAACAGCTATGTTTGTATGGTTGTCGTTGTCATCATTATGGTTGGTCGTTATGGTAGAGGTGACCATATTTTATGATGTTTACGGTGCTCTTAATGTTCATAATGGATAGTTACTACTTTCCAAAAAACAGGCTATCCAACTTCTTTGCCATTTCGAATTGCATTTAAAAAAAAAAAAGAATTAAGCAATCTTTTACCTTCAGACACAAAAAAAATATTTCTGAGGTCAATTCTCGATGACATTGATGAACACTTTAAGAGGCTGAAAGCGTTTATTTATGTACCGGAAACAACCTAAGAGATACCTGTTTTTGACAGCTAATAAGTAGTTTTTAACTGTACCTAATTACGTACTATGAAACAGTAAACAAGTAAAATTTGTTTGGACAGTCACGCTTATATAAACTGTATAATACTTTGTCAACAGCAGATATGTTGATGGTTGTACATAAATAGATGGTTTTACATTAGTAGATAATAATAAATACATAATCACTAACCTTACTTATAAATTCTATAATAAATAAACTATAAGAAAATCTAAACTTTATAGATATTACATAAATACATTAATGTAGGTAATATCTGCAAAGCTCATGGAATAGCGTTTTTTATGCAACTTATTCTAAGTTAATAAATTATATTTTTTATGTTATTATGAATTAATTGGTATGATAGGCTACAAGTAAACTTAAAAAGTAACTAATTAAACTAGTTAATTAATTAAATTAAACATAAAAAAACAAAGTTTAAAAATATTCATAACAAAAAGTTTTAAGAATTTTCAATGTTTCTGATTGATTATTTAAAAAGTGTCTACTAACTAAAACTTTGCATATAAATTTACTATTATAAACTTTACACAAAATCAAATTTTTAATGACAGTTTAATAAGTTTTTTTTTTTTTGGCGAATGAAAATGAAATGATAACTCCGCCTGCGCTAATGGGATACGCTGGCGGAGCACCAATGAAGCGTGATCAATGAGAATGAAAACAGGTCAGTTAGCCCATCTTCATGAATTCATCAGGAATTAACCATGATAGTTTCCAGGGGGAACCACGAGGAAGTCGACCTGGTTGGGCATATTGCTAGCAATGGGACTTTCAGTCTCCATTACTAACAATCCTTTTCTCCCCTTAATAAGTATCATGTTATCATTATATGACAGACATTTTAGTTCATTGATAGAGCAGTTTTTGAACGATCAGTCAGAAACATTGATATACTTGATATAGTTGTTTTTAAAATAGACAGATAACTTCAAAGTTGTCACACTTCATCAAACTAAAGTTAGGAACGCTCTGAATGCACGTGGTACGTTGCTTTGCGTAATAAAATTTCGGGGTCGATTCTCGCGGTCAGCATATTTAAAGACTAACTTTTCCGGGTCTAGGTGTTCTGGATTGTGCCTATTATGTCCATGAATAAATTGTTTAAGAAAAAAGGTATTTTTAATTGCGCATCAGACTGTACTGTGTTATAATATCCAGTTACATACTTTGTATTGAAAATCCTTAATATTAATAATCAATTAACATTCAAGGTGAGTTTCAGCTCTCCACTTTACCGGTCCCATACAAAATGGGGGTCATGGCTTTATGGAAGTTGCAAACCCAATTGACTCTCGCCGAGCGAAAGGTCCTTCTTGTGTCCTGACGTCAGAAATATAATTTGTAAACCAGAAATTTGAAAGGAGATCAAGTTCTTATTTATTGGGTACAACTCAATAAGAGTGGTGCCCTCTATTGTTAAAAGTTTAAAAAATTTTTGGAGTATTAAATAAATATAACAACGATTATTGAAAGTGACCAAAAAAATTCTTGATAAGAGAAAGCCTCTGACATGGCGAATATAGTAAATGTTTTTTTATTTTACACAATTAAAAAACAATACAGAAAAAACAAAAGAACTTAATTGCTAGCCGCTTTACAATAGCATATAGTATTAAAAAAACAACAGCGACTTAGACTATCATAATTATATTAATATTATACATACGAGTATTAAAGTTTATATAGATACTTGTTATTCAATCATGCATGACGTTTGAAAGAAATTTAGCATACACGTAGACTGTATAGAATGTCTTACAATTTCTTAATCTAACTTTTGTTTTGTTTCAGAAATGACGGTGGGGGTGCAGTCCAGCGATGGGATACTGCAATTAGAAGGATCAGATATCACATACATGGATATGATAGACGAGACAGTGAGCTATGGGGAGTCACAGATCCAGAAGTTCTTCTCTGGATCTACTATACTTGTGACGGGCGGCACTGGATTTCTTGGGAAGTTATTGGTTGAGAAGCTGCTCAGGTGAGTCCACAAATATAGACAGCAATAGATGTGGAAATATCTCCATTCGTATTTAAAATAAACGTAACACTACGATATTGCAAAATCTATTTTTTGTTAGCAAATCTCTGGCCAACTAAACCTTATACCTTTAAGCCTATGTCCTGTTTAATTCCAAACGGTGTGGCTAGTCGAGCCTTTAATGCGTTAAGAGATACCAAACAAACTCACTTTTACAAGTATTATATTTGTATCAATAAGGATTTTATTTATTAATGAATGAAATATTTACTTACTCTTAGTCGCTTCGGGGTCTTTTTTAATGTGATAGTGAAATGGTAACACTGCATATGCTGTTGGTATACGCTAGCGGAACATCAGTTAAAGATGATAGATAATTGACATACCATAACGGATTCAAGAAGAATTAATCGCGACAGTTTCCAGGGGGAACTACGTGGAGTCCTGACAGGGAGTATTACTAGCAAAGGAGCTGTTTTTTTTTTGATGGGTGAAAATGGTATGGTAACCCCGCCTGCGGTAATGGGATACGCTGGCGGAGCACCAGTGAAGGGTGATAGATGAGAATGAAAACAGGTCACTTAGTCCGTCATGATGAATTCATCAGGAATTAACCATGATAGTTTCCAGGGAGAACCGCGAGGAGGTCGACCTGGTTGGGTATATGGCTAGCAATGGGATTCTCAGTCTCCATTACTAACAATCCCTTTCCCCCCGCAAAGGAGCTGTTAGACCACATTGTTAACAATAACTTTCCCCCAGTCGTTTCGGGTTCATAGTGTTAATTATAAAAATCATCGCGTACTCTTGTATAGACGTGTAGCATAGGATGTATGTACTTCTATGCCACACGTTTGCTTCGAGCCTTGAGCAGAGTTGATATTGTGTAATAATATGTGCACGCGCATACGACACATAAACTGGACACTAGAGATTTTTATAGCTATAACTATTATAATTTTTACCCGTGACTACGTCCACGTGACCAGGATATGTTGACTGAAATAGTAGCTTAATGTCAACCAATTGACACAAAATTTGTCTTTAAGGAACATAAACTAAAAGAAAGATATACTATAATTCCAGATAGTATAGTATTAAGCATTATCTGTGATATGCTTTATACCCATTGTAGTGAATGTAGTGTTCATATATTCTGACATATTTATTTATTTATTTATTCATTAGTACAAATATGTGTACATGGCGGACTTAATGCTAAAAGCATTCTTTCCCAGTCAACCATAAGGAAGTGTCAGAATACTCGAATGCGGTACTACTAATTATTGATATACATACGTACTAAAATTACATATATAAACGAATAAATATATATAAATAACAAATATACTTACACATATATGACATATACTATATTATACACGAAATTGAGAATAATATAAAGTACTTACTGCTCGGATAAAAATAAAAAGTGTGCGTTAACGCTTTTTTTGAAAGACGGTTTAGTCGGTAGTCTCTTAATGGCATCAGGAAGCGCGTTCCAGAGTCGTGAAGAATGTAGGAGAAAAGAGTTTGAAGCGTAACCAGTACGGTGAGAGGGGAAGGATAATTGGAGAGTATTATTGGAACGAAGGTTACGTTCGTGAGTTTCAAAAAGATAATGGAATTTACTCCTTAAGTAGTTAGGAGACTGGGGGTTTCGAAGAAGAGTGTAGAGGGTACAAAGAGTTCTAACGTTTCTGCGTTGACGAATGGAAAGCCACTTGAGCTGAGACCGATATAAAGAAATGTGATCGAATTTGCGGAGGTTGAAGATAAAGCGTAGCATATTCATATGGCTTTGGATCGTATTGACCATCTTTTATTCTGCAAACAAAAACAATTGCTTCAGTTGTCACAAAATTCGAAGGGAATAGATTTCTATCGATTTTATAAAGAATTGTAAAAATCATATTTGGGGACGTAATTACTAACATTTGCAAAGAAATGACGAATTAACCTCTTTCTTTTCAAAATCGATTGACGAATCTTCCGCATAATATGTCTATCTTTATACATAAAGTATACTCAGTGCCAACGACCTCTACCGTTCCTGTCTGTACATATATTTGCTTCTTCGTCCCTTATTATGATTCATCTCATATATTTAAATCAACTTCGGGAATCTTAACTTTTTCCTCGTTCACTATGTAAGCTCTAAGCTCGGTCAGTGTAAGTTTCATTTTTGGTACCTATATCTCCAATATTATGAGCCCAATTCATCAACCTTGAAAAAACATCACTATAAGAAAAAAAAAGAATAAATTAGTACATTAAATTTTATTGGTGGCAATACACATTTTCACGATAAAGTTTTCTTTGCTTTTCTCAAACATTGTTCGAACACATTTAAAGATAAAAAAATTAAAACAAGGAAAATTAAAGTTCATAATTACTCAGAATCGGGTCAAATAGTGAGTCAAGGTGTTGTCCAGGCGGACACAAGGTAAGTATGCTTAAAAACGCAGTTAAAGTCAACTGTATTATCTTCCACATATAGTCGAATGCGATATTTGGTTTAGTCCTGGAACGTTTTGAACTTTAATTATATTAGCCTTAAGGCACATATTGACTAAGTTTAATGTTTATTATTCCAAGTGCGCAATAATTGTTTACAATGAGATCTTAAGGTCGCTAAACAATCCATTAAAGGACTAGCATACATCTGCATTTTGCTAAGAGGTAGTGCTCTATTTCAGTGTTCCATATTCAAATTGCAAAAATGGAACTTCTGAGACCACATCATTGTCTGTCAATATGTTATACTTGGAAACAATTCTATGTAGTCTATAGAAATTTAGTGGCATATATAGTTTTATTAATAAGCAATTATTTTAAGAAACGTCCTTAAAAGTTCCATGAAAAAGCAACCGGCTTCCAAAAGGAGATTCTCCATTGGATCGTATTTTTTTTTATTCATTGCTTCATAACTCCGTTAGTTATAAACCGATTTGGACTTTCTTAATTAAAAGAAATTATCTAAATTTTGGTGCCATAGAAATTTTATCAAAATCCGTTTAATATTTAAGTTTTGAAATCGTAGTAACTGGTTTCGCCACAATAGAAGTCATTTTTCGTGGAACACAATCTTAAATTGTTAATGGCGTCATTTAGAAACATTCATAGTATTAAAAACTAGAAAAAAAATGCTTTCATTAAAATGCTAATAATTGCTTCCCTGTCTTTTATCTACTTCTCTATACCTCAGAATTTTATTCTCTATACTTCAAAATTTAATTAGTTTTAAAATTCATGGACAATTTAAAACATTACATTAAGAAAAAACGCTTCCTGTTCATATAATAAAAATCACTTACCGCAATTAACCCCACATATTCAAATGAAGAAGAAGGAATATTATATTAAATAATATTACATAAATTTATCACAGTGATGATGTTAAAGAAACTGTAATAATCATTTATAAGTAGTTAGTAATCACAAATATAAATTAGTTATCAAATGTATGACCAATTGTAACTAATACTCATTGCAAATAGCCAAATGTTAAAGTTCTTACCTACATACAGACGTGATTTGGATGAAATTTGGTTGAAGTCCATAGAAGCAGGATAGGTGATGTCATCAGAAACTTTGCGACCAAAGTTGCGGATATCGCCCTGTTTAAAGACAAAATAAAGTAGGTAGTTCCTGCAGGGATTTCCCTATTGTTTCGCATATAGTAAAATAAAATCTCTCACGATCGTAATATGAATTATGCAAGCGCAAGATAGAAACCATTAGAATAATTTATTTATATTTTAAAATCATCAGTGGCAGTTCTAAAAGAATACAATGAGTAAGCGAACGCTCTCAGCATATTAAGTAGATTGACGATGGATTATAAAGCAACTGCCTGGACCTTTGGAATAGAAAATAGAAATTGCGACATACTCAATGCAAAGGCAAACGAAGTTGATTGTCGATGATTGTATTTTGGCAAACAGGTAAAATTACAGGGAACTAAGGTATATATATATATATATATATATATATATATATATATATATATATATATATATATATATATATATATATATATATATATATATGCAGCTTGGCAGGCGGATTATTGCCATTCTATTTTACATAACAAATATTATAGTTTATTAATGTTTATTTATGCTGTAATATTTTTTTAGAAAATATGAAATAAATTCGTATGCAAATCTTAAAATTAGGACACCAAGGACCCCCTTGTCTACAATAAATATACAGTGATCATCCACATCGTTATCTCTGTCTTACTTGTGTTTCTACCATCAAGCAGCTATGTTTCGATTTAAAAAGTCAATCTCCGTTGTCCAGTTGTAAATTATCGTTATGCGTTAATGAGGTTCCAAGTTCGATTCGCGGTCGGGTAATTTACGAAACGAACTTTTCTAGATCGGCTTGGATCTGGGTGTTCTGGGTGGTGACCCCGGATATTCATTACCTGGTTCCTCAAAACACAAGATATCCTTGCTTGAGGGCCAGGTCATTGATGTGTTTATTGACGTCATAGTAGTGGAATTAATAGCTTCTGGCTGGATTACATTTTAACTCTCACGTATAGCAACCATGCTTATTACAATGTACTGCTTCTGTAAAATTATAATTAGTTTGGTATATCAAAGTGATAATTGTGTAATGACATCTATTTGCTAATGATATCAAAGCTAATGATAGAAAATAGATATCTAATGACAAGAAACTGATACAAATATGATGCAAGTAATATTGTAATAATAAAATCATTCACATTTATAGTTGAGATAAAATAATTGACAAATTTGAGTGATAATAAATAATTTTATCGATGTAAGATAAAATCAATTACACTGCGTCGTGGAAAATGTTCCTTATCTATGCACTGTAACGTATGATATTTGAATAGAGTGGTCATTCTAACGTTACGACCAGAGGATATTATATTTAAATATCTTCCCGAATGAGGAGTTACTCAATTTGTTTGCATTTTTTTTTTGTAGCTATGATATGGAACGAAATTAACGAAATAAATTATAACAATGTAATTTTTGTATACAATAAAGTATAAATAAATAAATAATTACGACAATGACGTTGTTATATGTGAATTGATTTTTACAGTGAAGATTACTATCTTAGATTAGTCTCATATTAATTTTGTGGCAATATATTTACGATTATTCATTGCACAGTTTATCTATTATAACTATGTTTATAGTTTCATTATTAGTATAGGTCTTACCTCCGTGTGGTTTATATTCATTACGAAGCAAAACCATAAAATATAAGCCATATATATTAATTGTTGGCATTCCTATTCTGCTTTGACAGTAAATGGCCATTATGGGGATATAATGAACTATTTGCTGTTAATGTTCACTTATCATACTCGTCCTATAAATAAGGTGAACCCTCAACACATTTTCCATAATCAAATCTTGACCCTAAATAGGCAAGATTAAAATTGGTTTCTTTATAGAACATTAACTTAAACTAATTTATAATATTAATACTAATTTCATTTTTTGCCAGGTCATGTCCAGACATAAAAAAGCTGTTCCTTTTGGCTAGACCAAAAAAGAACAAGGATATAACAAAAAGAATTCAAGAACAATTTGATGATGTCGTAAGTATACTTGTTATTAGTAATTATACCTACTATATTATATTATTGATTTAGTAACTAGAGTACAAAGCTAAAGTCACTTTATCAACTACATTTGATCAATTTATGCAGTCTGCCCTTGATTGATTAAAAATTTTGATATCAACAACTCACAAATATTTTATGTATAAAAAGACTGGTCTACTATTTTCTTACATCATGTAATGTAAAATATAATATGAACATATAAATGTAGTAAGCTAGATTTCTAATCTTTATTTTGTCCTTATTACCATCAAAGGACTTTATTAGATAACCGATTACTATGTATTAATATAGACAACAGAAAATTGACGAAATGTAACGAAATGTTCACTAAATATTAATCATACAAAAGAGAAAATTTTACATAAAGGAAATATTTTTTTAATTTTAGAAATAAATAATATCTTTATTTGCAGATTTTTTTTAAAAAGACTTCTCTTCTTGAAATCACAAATCTGTCGTATCGTTACATGCATGCAATCTAATTATTAGACTCCTTGAGTAGCAAAAAAACTCCATTCTTTCACAATCAATTAGGTTTAATTTTTGAACAAAAAATTTATCTCCCACCTATTAATACCTTAATGATTTTCTATATTTAACTTTATTATTTTATCTCGAAATTAAATTTTGTTATTTCAGCTCTACGACAAACTAAGGAAAGAACGTCCCGGATTCTTAAAAAAGATAGCAATTATAGAAGGTGATGTTGGACGAATTGCTCTTGGCTTGAATGAAGAAGATAGAACCAAAGTTATTAATGAGGTAATAATTACTTTAATTGACCAAAACTGATTCTGTAATTGTCTATTGATTGATAATCGTCACCTATAGGCATAAGCAGTATCATAGATATAAAAGAGTACACTATTTCGCCCATGTTTTCTTTTATACCACAAAAGCAAACAAGCATACACCCCGTATGATGATAAACGATTTCTGTACCTATGGACGCTTGCAAAACTAGAGGTGTTACGTGCGCGTTGCCCACCCTGATTCCTTAATATACCCTTTTTGACTAACCCCATTTCCCTCTAGGGAAAACCTCGGCAGGGAGCTCATTCCACAGCCCGCGCGTTTGCGGGAGAAAATTTCTTTGAAACCGCACTGTACGCTACCATTTAAGTTCAAGCATGTGAGGATAAATTACCTGTCGATGACGACTGCTGCAAATATAATTGATAATGATTGTTCTTATTAGAAATATATTTTCAGGTAGAAGTAATCTTCCATGGAGCAGCGACTGTCAGGTTTGACGAACCTTTAAAAACGGCCGTGGAAATTAATGTTCGAGGCACAAGGGAGATATTAAATTTGGCCAGAGCCTGCAGCAAGTTGCGTGCCCTTGTCCATATATCAACGGCTTATAGGTAATGAAATACAAATAAACAAATATACTCACTTCTATAATCTCTAATGGGATAGTCAGACGTATTTGATGAATGTTGCTATTGTATTGTATGTACGTGTCATTGTAATAAAAAATAATTTGATAGAATTAGTCTTCTCGTATGCAATGGGGAGGCAATCTCGACCGCTTCCTTAAGAACTAGTATTGCCTTAGCCAGTGGCTGCAGAAAGTAGAAGCTGTTTTATCTTTACCCAGCAATTGAATACTATAAATCTATAAAAGACTATGATATTCAGTGGAATGATTAAATGACGATTCGCTAGATCACATTGAACGCCAATATACAAAACATTATATTGGGATGCTTCTGGGGATTTCTCGTAAACAGCATTTCCCTTATAAATTATATATTTTTTTATATTGTTTAAAGCTTTTTTAACCCTTCTGGTGTTGGATAAAAAACGATAATGATGATTAAAATGATAAAAACGTATCTCTCAACTGCTTCTAATGCGGATATCGTTTGCGGTGACTGTTAGAATAAAGTATTTGAATACACGAGAAGATAACACTGGAAATAAAACCAATAAATTTTATAATAAATCGATCTATATTTTCATATGTTATTGTTATATTTATTTACAGTAATTGTCTATATAATGAAATCGACGAAAAGTTCTACGAGCGTTCTTTGCCTGGTGAAAAATTAATAGACCTAGTTGAAACAATGGATGAAAAAATAATAAATAACATCACACCTGGGTAAGTTTGTTACACTACTATAGGTATATCGATATAAAAGTTCATAGATCGCTTAATTGTAAATGCTAGTTAATTTGCATAACCTTGGTTTGTAACAATTCAAAACATTGAATGTTCTTGTATATTTACCATTAATGTAATACAGTTTTAAAATAGAATATCAGTATATTTGTATTAAAAAACATTATTTGACAGAACATTAACAACAAGTTGCTAAGTTAGGCACAAATAGAGAAAGCACTATTGTCGTTAAACGAATACCTCTTCTCGATATTTATACGAGTATAAACTAACCCAGCAAACGTTGTTTTGCCATATAAATTAGGGATACCCTAATTTTCCACAATGGTTTAGAACTTACAGAAATTATGTGGTAACAAACATAAAAAAAATAACAATCGGATTGTGAAACTTCATCTTTTTAAAGTCAGTTGTAAATATACCTCTTGAGTCAGAGATTATACTAGCTCTCCTCAGTACTGTTTTTATTATATGTTTATATTTTATTTTACATGAATCTACTGTAATTTCAGATTACTTGGCGATTTCCCCAACACGTATGCTTATACTAAAGCCGCCGCTGAAGACATTATTTTGAAGCTCTCTAAAGGTCTACCAGTGGCACTATTCAGACCTGCAGTAGGTAATACATTCAAATTATTAGAATTCTTCAAAAAATATCTACCTCTATTACTAGATCTGTGATCGAATGAAAGAACAACTATATTTTTCATAACGAATAGTTTTTTATACTAGCTAACAGGCATACGCCCCATCTGATAGTACCTAAATAGAGTTACCGTAGCCTACTTTTCTTATCTTACTGTTACAATATATTTATAACTGTAAATGAGAGATATTTAAGAAAAAAAATATTTGTGATGTCTATAAAAACTTCTAATAGAAACCAAAACAATATTTTTTAAAAAGTTTATCTGTTTATGTTTACGTCACGCAAAAACTGTATGTGTGTAAAGTACCAAATTAAATATAGTTATATTTAATTTGGTATACTATATTTATTCTATCGTTCACAGTTATATTCATGGAAGTCTACGTTAAAGTCTGAAAGTAGTTACATACTTCTAAAGTTCAAGCGTACGAATTTGCGGACAAAAGTTTTTTTATATAGAAAAATAAATAAATACATGCTTGAAATGTGGGGATTTGGTTGAAACATTGTGTTAGTTATTTGTGTGTTCCCGGCATAGAATAGTTGATCCATTTCCTTCGCGTGGATATCGTAAGCAGCGACTAAGCAAACATAATGGTACAGAGATGGGCAGCAGCGTCCCTCTTAAAACATCACTTAAAGCCTAACTGCGGTTACCAACCCGCCTGCAAAGCGAGACAATTACGGGCAGGACTCCCCTTACGAGGAGGGCTTGTATTCAACATTGGACAGTCAACATTGGAAATTCCGAATTTTCGGGCTCAATTTCGTGTTTTTGTTCGTACCTAAATCGATCCAGTAAATGGAGCTTAACGTTTAATTAATTATAAATCCTATCTTAATAGTTCAGAGTAACGATATTTTAATATTTTTAATAATTTTAAACGGCATGTATTATGTAATTTTAACATGAATTTTCTATTTCGTTCATCCCCGAAATTTCGGAAAATATTTCGTGGTAGGCCCTCAGATTACTCAAATCAATCCAACTTCAGCAATAACATAAATAAGTAAAATAACTGAAAATGATGGTAATATTGGGATGTATGCCGTCGATAGATGCCGTTATTGCGATAGAGTGTTCCGATAGTTTTATATGTGAAATGAAATATTGTATTTATCTGTATTAATTTCCTTTTCAGTAATTGGTACAGCGAAGGAACCTTGTCCTGGATGGATCGACAACGTTTATGGTCCGACTGGTGTAAGTATATTTTGTACATATGTCCATATCTTTCTTTTTTATACCACGAAGGTAGCAACAAGTATAGGTTACAGCCTGTTTGGTAGTAAACGGTTACTGTAGGCTATGGACACTACGACATCAGGCGTGTCACGTATGCGCTGCCGATCCTACGACATTCGTACAATATCAAACATATTAGTTTTAATTCGATACAACGGGATTTATTAATAAAAATTACAATAAAACTATTCTAATATTTAAATAAATAGATAACCTTTATTACAAGTATTAAGAAAATAAAAAATTAAAACAAAAAAAAAATCAATTAATGTTGCTGGTAATAGGAGCCGCCTCAGCTGTTGCTATATATGTACAGCTCCAGCGAGATGTACCTATATAGCGCTGATTTTCAGGCGGCCCCTTAACTCCTTTACCTTTAGCATGCATGCGGATCGCCAATACCTATTTCCCAGATGGCAGACTCAACACGCTTAACAACAAATACATAAAACATTACAACAAATACACAAAACATTACAACAAATACACAAAAATATTTCTTATTTCGCCTGTATATAACACATAGGTCATAATAGCCTGATACTTCGAAAGTTGTAGTATAATAATACGGCTATCAGATTACTTCTCTAAATAATTTGTCTAGTTTAAAAATTCAAATAGGAATGCAAAAACTTTTACATTTTATTTGAGTAGATCTAGTGCAGAAAGACATGCTATGGTTATTTTAATAGTTTTTAAATTAAAAAACATACACAAACAAACGCCTGAATATTGTACATTGTAATTATTATTTATTTTTTTATTTTAAATCTAACAGGTCGTGGTTGGAGCTGCTGTTGGTCTTCTCCATGTTCTCAACTGCAATCCCAAGGCAATTGCAGACTTGGTGCCTGGTGATATGGTTGTGAATAGCTGCATTACAGTCGCGTGGAAGACTGCTAAGGAATATCCCGGAAACCATGAAGACGCTCCACCTCCCGATTTACCACCACCAGTTTATAATTATGTTTCGTCTGAACAAAATCCGTTGACTTGGGGTAAGTTGACGCTTGAAAATTCTTTTTAAATAGTTATTTATTTTGGACAACTTGGGCCCATTTTTTTATTAAATTACTAATGATGATCTACATAGTCTTCTCAGCAAGCACTCTCACGTGAAGACTATATATTTTATTTACAAAGATGTTCAGAATACTGTTGCTAATCCCGCGTATTCTATGGAAGAACGAAGCTGTCTTTTTACACCAAACTGCGTCAAAACTATTTGTACGAGTTTCGGCAAACTTCGCTGAAGCGCTACAGAAGCGTAGGAGCCATAACAATAACCTGTGAATGGTATTAAATATGTTCTTTACCCTTACCCTTTGATATTTTATTACTAAATATACAATAAAAATAGTCATTTAATACGTTGTAAGATAGTTCAATAAGAACAATCTGTAATTTAATAGACTAAATGCAATATATAAAAGTTAGTTCAAGAAATCATGTTATTGAAATTTTTTAATCTCTTTCAAAAAAGGAGAAGGTTCGTAGTTCTGTTGTATTTTATTAAGTCAGAACTCGGTTATACACTGATTTAATTTTTTTATTTGATAGAATATATATTCAGACTGGTCCCATAGAAATGTCTTCATATTCAAATCAGTAGTTTTGTTTTAAAATAAAAATAACTGATTTTATATTTATTGTAATTTAATTATTTATTTTTTATTATAAAAAATAGAAGTAAATTATGCTTACATCATTTAGAAATATTTAAAATTTTAAGTATTTCGTGTTAATTTTTTAATTTTAATTCAAATTTAATAGCAGTAGAGTTTTATAGACTAGTACTGATAGCTACTCTTTAACAGTGTTACATTTCTTCTTGTTACAGAAAAATTCATGAAGTTAGTCGAAGTACATGGCTTCGAAGTGCCACCATTGGCAGCAGTCTACTTTTATTTATTGCATCTGACCCCCTCTCGATTTATGTACATGTTATACTCCATCTTCCTTCATTGGATACCAGCTTACATTGTCGACGCTATTACCGTATTGATTGGAAAAAAACCTATGTAAGTTATTATGATTTACATTATTAACTCTCTGTTAAAATGGTGCAGGTATATATTTTTATGCCTAGTCATTTTATAATACTCAAATTGCCAAACAAACTGATGATCCATTTAAAGTGCTGCTCGATAAACAAGACATATGGTAAACCTACTCTAGATATCGCAGAATACAATCTGCCAACCGCCATGGTCGCTTTACTTCTTAGCAATGTATGTCTCATAGATTGCTAAGAATATGCTGATAAATAAAGTTATCCTTTAGACCCAAACAGACTGTCCGAAAATGTTGTAAATAGCAGGATGCAGTAATAAAACATATATGTATTTGTGATATAAAATAATAAGTTTAGTGAAAAAAATACAATAAGACATGTCTTATAAAAATCTGACCAAGAACAAACTTAAAAATAATACATTGTTCTAAAAAAAATCTCAACCTCAACAGCCAGTATTAAAACTTCAACAAAAAAAAGCATGCATTCTAACTGTAGGATAATACTGATTATCAGTATCAGTAACATGATGTACTCGTACGTAGGCTTTAGTTCTTTAATACATTGATAATTATATACATTTATGTCTTGCATAGTGATTTTGCGTAATTCATCCAGACACTACCGCCTTACCATTTTCTTCAACAGTTTCACGTATAAATCTCTACATTTGTTAATGCATATATGTAATATTTGTAATGTCAGGACACCAAAACATGTATGCATGTATTAAACTAATTGTATAAATTCAGTATTTGTATATTGCAGTAAAGAGAATTAACTATCAAAAATATTTAGTTATTGTATGAGATTTAAGAGAATCTATTTTGTTACAGGTTACGGAAAGCTTACACGAAAATTGCAAAATTCGCCGACGTACTCTCCTATTTCGCTTTACGCCAATGGAAGTTTCATAATACAAACACACAGAATCTGTACAACGATTTGAACGAAGCAGACAAACAAATGTTTGGCTTTGATATATCTTCTATTAGTTGGAATGAATATTTCTACAATTACGTTCGTGGAATTAGGATCTTTCTTCTAAAAGATCCCATAGACACAGTACCGGCAAGCCTTAAAAAGTATAGCAGACTGAAGTACTTGCATTATACATTCTGCACAATTTTGTGTTTGGGTTTATTAAGACTTTCATGGAGTATAATTAGCTTTATTTATGCATTAGCTTATAGGTCTTTTTGATTGTAGTTCTATCAATGAATGCGCTTTGTTATTTGATTTCAAACTATGACGTAGTGTCATAAAGTATTCACATTGATAGATAAGTAGAGATGTAAGAGTTGTTGAAGTTTTGTCATGGAAAATTATTAAATGGGCCTTAATTAAGTCCTTAATATATAAATGTTGAACAATTATTAGGCCATTCTAATAAAATTCTACACGTGGCCCGTTAACAGGTTAGAATATCTAAATTATTTCGATTTTATGAACATCACATTATTATTAGAAGATTCAGTTCAACTTGAAAAATTCTTTAATCGTATTCAATAATCGAATCGGATATACAATTCTCCAGACAGAAAAATCAGTTGTGTAAAAGTTAATTAACTGAAATGTTTTTCAAATAAAATTATAAATATTAATAAAATTATATCAAAGCGTACATTACTTGATATAAATGTATTTGTATATAAATATTGTGATTATATTTAAGCAGAATATATTGTAAGTAATTAGTTTAAATCGATGGAATGGTATGGTGTGGGTCAATACATATTTTTTGAGTAACAAAATACGGGCAAGAATGTTAGTTGTAGTAATAAAATCACTTTTCTATAATCCTAGAATTTCTAAGATGCTTGTTATGAACAGGATTCGATAATAACTTTGTGTGATGCCCTTTCTTCCATTCGTGACTGTTATACTCTCTCTATGTTTGCAAATGACTAAACATTTTGAACTATATAGCTTATTTTCTGTATGAATTCTTCCAATAGATATCTAGTTGTAGTCTCAATATCAACAATTGACAAAAATTATAACATATAGCTGTAGTCTTTTAGATTCTATTGCGAAAATAGGTTTACTACCTGATATTGAGTTTAGTACCTGCAAACCAATAATATTTATGGTGTCATGGTAGATAAAAAATGGCAATCTAATCGATATATACCTTTGAAGTTGAAAAAGTTAAGGTATAATTATAGTTGTTCAGTCACCATAAACTTGATTAGACGATAATATAAAACCATTTATAAGTAAATAAGTATTTACTAGAATGATTAAAACTATGCTATCGCAAACATATCTAAAGTATGACAAATGTAATACGTTAGAGTGAGATACGATCACTCGGATGCAAGTCGTTTAGTTTTCATGAAAAAAATATTTAATTTGGAATTGAGGTTATATCAAACTAGCGAACATACGACCATCTCTCACACTAGTAATTTTTTGGTTTAAAGCAAACTATCTAAGAATATTTTATATCTAAACGATTTACTGCTTTATGTTTGCGTTGTTCTTTTATTCCTACCTACCTGGTTCTATGTTCTGGCATTTGCGCTATGATCTTGTTCTTAAAATCTAAATCCACCATAATATACAAGGTGGAACCGAAATAGTTAATATCTTTTTAAGGGAGTGTTCTGTTTGTAAAATTGAACATTTTACTTCAAGAAACATGAAACAAAAAAATACAGCTTTCTTACTAGAAATGTTAGTGTGTGTGTGGCAAACCATTTGTTGTGTTTCGTTTTATGTTTCTTTGTAGAAAGTAAAAAGTAAAAAAGTGTAAAAAGTAGTTTCACTTGTAGAACAATCCCTTAAAACTTAACGATTTCGATTTCATCGAATAATAATTAAGTAATTCAACGGTTATAATTCTTACTACGATGGATGCTAAAAATAGTTATAACTTACCAATGGTACTTATTACACTTGTTACCATTATCTCTTGTTATAATTAATTGTTTATATAAATATTTCAATGTGATAAATAATATCGAATTTTGCTCAGTTATTTTATTTTATAGAATAAATATTTTTGTATTTAATTTGAAATGTATGTCAATTTGTGAGTATATGTGTTAGTTGCCATTTAAAGTTAATAAAACAATTTAATAATGGAGTGTTATTTTTATTTTAGATTAGCTTATCTAATTTTAGATCAGGTCTTTGTAGAATCAATTACACGTAGAATTTAATTCAACATTAACCACTCACTTTAATGTGAGTAAAGATTTCTTCAAATACCACCCTCCGTTTAAATAGATCGATATTTCATAGCGTTTGTTAAAGTCGTTTTAAAAATATCTATACAAAAAAATATCAGTTAGATACAAATAATATACTAGGATTCAGAAAAATCCTTACTCTATGGAATAATTTATCTTCGCCGCAGATTATGAATAACCACAGGTACTATGGTTTTGATCCAATCTTCAGATAGCTTTAGGCTTATGTCACATGACACCAGACAATGAAGTATTTTAGAAATAATATTGACAGATGAATTTTTACCGATATTTTTATATTTTAACAAGTTTTATATTATTATTTATAGAAGCGAAAGAAGTTGGTGATATAAATATAATGGAAACAGGTTTGGATACCGTATCGCCATTTTCTATCGGATTGCAATTCTTTGTTAAGGTCAATAATACCTCTAATAATGACGTGGAAGCAGAATTAACTCCAGATGAATGCTGTCTGAAGATAGAACCGAATTTAGATTGTAACATTTTAGTAGCAATTGGGAGCTGTGTTCAGACAATTCCAAAAGGTATTGTATTATTATTGTTATTACTAGTTTTTACTCACAACTTACTTACTTCTCTATTCAAAATGATACGTATTTTGTTATCATTGGTAGAACCATTAAATTTTCTTATTCTAAAATATTTAAACAAAATGTCTCTCCTGAAATAGGTTAATAGAAATATGGTTATAGGTTAATATAAATACTTTATTTATTTAAATTTATTTTTATAGGTACAACTAAAACGTTTAAAGTTGTGGCACCACTATTAGATCCATTTGAAAGATATGGTTACTGTATCTTCAACTTCGATTCAGTACATGATAACATAAAGAGAAGTATAAAAAGAACACCCGTCAAAATAACTTTTGACACACGTTTAAAAAATAGAACTCAATTTATACATATACCTAAAAGTATTAAACTTTGCCAGAAAATAGATGAAGATCCATTAAACAATTGTGAACCAGTAGACTGTGATATCTATTACAATGGCAAAAGATCATATTTTAATAAAAGATTTAGAAGATGTACACATATACCAAAATGTATTTCGGATTCAAAAAACAATATCCGTAGTGTAATTTATAATCCAAATTCAAACAAATGTGTTAAAGAAAAAGCGATCACAAAAGATGATATTGAATTCTTAAAAGAATTTTATAAAAGTAAGAGTAGAAAAGCAAAAGATATTTTCATAATCAATAATGCACATACTACTACTGAAGCAATAACACGCATACCTGATAAAAATAACAAAGACATAATTGTGGAAGAACTCTTACCTGATGAGGGGACAAAAGAGGCAAGTAAAGCGAGATCTGGTGTTATAAACAAAGTAAGCTATTTCAAGTATTTATCGAATAAATACTTAATAACTAATAAATTTACACTAGTTGTATTTGGAGTAATAATTTTAATACAGTGTTGTCTGATTTTTACTATGGTTTATTTTTTACCAAAAAGTTGTTATAGTTGCAAGAAGAAAAAGATTATTAGCAAGTTCTATAATTACAGACAAGATGTCTCTGTTACGACACCTTTAATTGAGACTAGTAATATTGATACTGATACTGCCGAATTTCAGTATATGAGTGAATCATCAAATATAGATAAAAAAATAAAATGTTATAAAGCATGCCAGAAAGAATGGAAAAATAATGTTAAAATGAGTATGTCCGACGATATTTTATCTAAATGTCTAACTAGAAGAGACTGGAATAGGCAACCAGTAAAATCGAATGCTATCCCTGAAATTAATGAAACTGTTGTTTCTAATTACAAAGAAGTGTATCCTGTTTCAAAGTATAGAGCTGATATGGTAAATTTACAGCAAAAAGAAGTTACAAGTAATACATCTAAGAAATCTGATGATAAAGTTAACTTTGAGAATGAAATAAAATTAAAAATAAATAATAAAGACTCCAAGAAAATTATTAGAAAGACAGAGAACAAGGTAGGGTATAATAGTAAACATAAAATAGAGGAAAAAGATTATTTAGGACCTCAATGTGACACATCAGAGAAGGAAATTAAATGTCACAGCTATAACTATATGAACGAAATTACAAATAAAACCAGCTTCCAACCGAGTACATACAGTAACAATCAGAAAATCTACAAACTAGATAAAAGTAAAAAAGAAACATTGTCTGTATCAACAGAAAAAGGAGCACAAGCAGAATTCTCGAATGATTCAATCGATGACTTTTTGTCAGAACGTGGTATGATGTTCTTAACTGGTGAAAATTTATCAAAATACACATCCTCTAGTGGATCAAACATGAAAAAGTCTTCAACATCATCCGATATATCAAGTAAAACGTCTAAAAATAATATATTAAAAAATGTATTGTCACTTTTTCATAAAAAATCCAAACATTGCACTTCTTCTGATCCAGGAAAAAAGAAAAGTAGTCAAAATTTTGATATCAAAATATTACATGACATGTCGCATGTTTCAATTTACTCATCGAGTAATAATGAATCTGATTACATAAAAAATTTGAAGAAAACTAAAGATTCAAGAAGTTCTTTGTGACGGCAAGTGAAAAGAGATTTTAATTTCAGATTTTTAGTTTTAATGTGCCTACTTAATAAAAATATTTTTAATAAAGTATTTCTTAATTGATTTTATTTTGTTTTGTTAATCGCTATAACTACAATATCTTTTGCAAATCGAATTCATAACATAGGAGTGTATATACTCTAAATTAAACACAAGTATTAATAGGGAATAAATTTTATCTGCGATCAATAAAGTTTGAAATTCTCTCTTCTCCTCCGGGACAACTGGGGCATACGCATGGTGGGCACACAGTAGACGGCGCCTCTGTAGGTAACGTTACGTATCTCGGTTTCTTTACCTGAAATTTTGTACCAGCTATAACCCGAGACTCCATTACATGAATTTACCTAAAATATCCTGTATGTTCATATAGAAAGTGGTTCTTTTGTATACCAGATTGCATTCAGATTCGTTCAAATTACTTAGGAACTAGCGTCCAAATATATCACTGTCTTATCTTATTAATTTCTAACAAATCACTCTGATTTGGTATGAGTTCAATATGTATATATTACACAAACTTTTCGTAAAAAAATTAATGATAGTAAAACCCAGATTAAATCTCGTCTTGTGATTTAGAAGAAATACGTAGGGGAAAAGCAACTTCATTTCATACCATTGGCAAATTAAAATCCCTGTGACAGAAAATTTTATATACTTGTTTATTCGCATTCCATAATGTTACAATAGATGTCTGCTCACATAATATTATTATAATGAGTATTATAGACCTTGTTGGGCGCAGCAAGTAACAATTGGAGAGATATTTTATATGCATATTATATAAAACTAGTTTGAAATAAGAGAAGCAGTACCACTTTTTAAAGGTACCCATATTGACGACTTTTGTATATGTTAACAGATTTCATAAAAAAGAAGGTTCTCGATTCGATTGTATTTTTTTATGTTTCTTACCTTATAGCTCTGTCAGTTATAAACCGGTTTGAAAAAATTTTTTTATTCGAAAGGTTATACTTACAGATTGGTCACATAGAAATTTTTATCAAAATCGGTTTAGTAGTTTAGTTTCAAAATAAAAATAACGGGTTTTGCTATAATTGTTTCGATCCGTTTTTTTTTGTGCAAGACAATTTTAAATTATCACAAATAATAATACTACCTTTATTTTAGAAAAATGTATGTTTCCAATCATTTTGAATTTGGTGAGTGGTCCCCGCGTAATACAAAGACACTGAAAACGAATGTTAATATACTTAAATATAAATATTATAAATGTGAGAATGATTTTTTTTCATCACTTGGCATATTGCTCAAATAAATTACATGAAATTTGATATACACGTAGTGAGGATAGCTGAAGATATTTAACTCCAACAAAACTGAACAAAATCGCAGAAAAAAATTGTATTAATACACTAAAATTTCTTTTGATTAAAATTACTCCCTGTTGTGTTCTCATCTCATATTCAGTTGTAAAACAAAAACTACTTGTAGACATAAGATTCTGCATTCTAAATTAAAATATATCAAATCTAATGTGTCTACTGAACATCTTGTCGTAAATCGGATGTGTATGGGTGCGTGTATATGTAGGAGTGATATATGTATGTGCTTGTGTGTGCATGTGTGACAATAACACACATTCGTAATTCAATTCTATCTAATCAAATTATATATTACTTAATAAATAAATTTAATAAGCAATACTCACACCAGGCTATAAAAAATATGTTTGGTTATTCTTCGGCATCTTACATTCTTACAAAGTAAATCGAATTTATGAGCATACTTTTAATTCGTTCTCTATGAACTGAACATTTTCCCCAAACAAAATGAGTCGAAAATCGACAATTTAGAGCCTTCTATACAAACTTGACAATTAGACGCGTCGTTTTAAATAATACTTTCTTTAAAGGATACTAACAAGTTCACTCTGGATAACGATTACTTTCTATACATGGTATGTATCAGAAATACATTAATATATAATCAGATAATTTTATGAATCTTAAACCAATACCTCGTTGGTAAATATATCCAAAAATATTTATGAAATTGAATAAAAGTTTTCCCAAGTAACATAGATCTAAATCCTAATTAATATTTAATAGTCTTATCTGTATCTCGCGGCTTTGCACTTTCATGTGAATGTCTAATTTTATTGAAATCCGTTTAACTGTTTAAGAGTATTTGAGTAACAAACATCCAAACATATATACAAACTTTCACATCCTTCATAACCTTTCTATCATGTAATAATCGTATTAATAGAAAAAAAAATGTAACTGGGCGATGTTTGTGTATAGGAGTTATTTATGAAATGAAGAATCTTAGTAAGAGCAACAGAAAACAAAACAATTTTAGAAATTTTGTCAGTCTCTGAATGTATATCAGTTCTAGCATCAGGAAAAAATTACTAAACCAAATTGTTTTCACTGTAGTGTTCCTGAAGGTCGAACTAAAAAACTAGTGTATGTTTTATTTTGATACGCCGTCGAAAAGTGCTCTTTTAAGGGCAAAGCAATAAACTGAGTTGTGACCATTTTGTGTTACTATGGCACACACATGAAGGAAAGGAAAGAAAGGCAATTATTAGTTTATATATTTTGTTTTTTTGTTTTGTGTTTTTTTATTATTATTCTTTTATCTCTTTTACTGTGTATTATGTGTATGCTATTTTATTGTCATTTGTGTGCTGTAAGTAATGTAAATAAATTATCTATCTATCTGGAATTCATGCATACGATACAACGGGCAATAAGGTAATACACAATAAATAATATAATAATATATATGTAATATACATTAATATGTACTTATTATTATACTGTAACATTATTATTTATTAACATTAAATAATTAAAGATTGGGCCGATGCTACCGAACCGATTTTGATAAAATTTCTATTAGACCAAACTGTAAGTATTTCCTTTCAGATAATAAAACGGATTTTCCAGATTGGTTTAGAACTGACGGAATTATAAGATAACAAACATAAAAAAATTACAAACGAATAGAACACCTCCTTTTTGAAGTTAGTTGATTATCCCAGCTTGTTATACTAGTTTTGACATAGGCATCTATGTGCCCTAATATTCTATATATCCTATAAACAGCTATCTTTGTATTATGTTTCATCAAATAAATTAATAATAGTGATTACTTACTTTCTGCAATAGAAGAGAGATTAAAATTAATATCATATGCAAAAATTATTAAATGTACACCTCATGAAAAGTGGTAATTATTGTCAATAGATATTGGCAATGAACATCACACTACCAGAGGGAGATTTTTTACAAAAGTCGTTTGCTTGAGTACCTCTGTCCTATTCGTGTTTCTACCATGAAGCAATTATGTTTGCATGGCTGTGTTTCGGTTTGAAGGGTGGAATATGGCAATGAATTTACAGGGTGCAGAATAATAACACCTGAGTCCTTTGTAATAGCAACGCATGGGGTAACCCCCATGTAACTCTCATGGACAAAACAATATACAATGTTATGTCCATGGTACTGCTCATGTCCATAGGCGACGGTAACCACTTTCCATCAGATGAGCCATCAGCTTGCTTGCAATTCTGAGTTGCATAAAAAAAAGAAAAAAAAACAGTATAAACAAAAACGTTCGTTCGTACCACCAACCCCTTAAGTAAGTCAAAAAGACTAATGTACTATACCTCAGAGTCAATATAGCGAATGTAACGGCCATACATCATTTGTGAGCATAATAGTTAATAACGGGGACTACCAGTCCCATTGCTAATAATATTCGATATTTATTTATTTATTCTTTATTGACCACACTACAAAAAAAATTTTGATATATAGGGCAAACTTAATGACACATTTTCTTCCAGTCAACCTTTAGAAAGACATAAATCTAATTATACGGTAACAAATTGAAAATAGTTGTACATAAACGGTCGACCTCCTCGCGATTCCCCCTAGAAATTACTATGGTTTAATTCTGATGAATCATCGCCTATCATTCCTCACTGGTAGCTCATAAGGCTATATTGATAGCATAAGCAGAGTAACCGTTCCATTTTCATAATACCTATTAAAATTTTCTGTTTGTTTTAAATAAATAATTATTTAATTAGCTGTTGAATGACATGCGAATTAAAAATAAAAAAAATATTTAGGTACTACTTACAGTAGCCGGCTAAAATAATACAGAAATAATAATTATAATAAATTTGGTTTAAAAAAGGGGATAAATATATAAATAATATAATATATATAAATTGATTTCTTACTCTCGTCTGAAAAATATTTTTGAAACAAATAATTAAAATTAAAAAAGTTAACAAAACATGTAATATTCATTCATAAAGAATATACATAGAACAATTGTAATTTTATTTTCCTTATTTAAGATACTTTACTATTACAGATAGATTATTACAATAGATCGAATTAAAATTTAAAATCTAATTTTTACTCACATAATACTGCAATACATAATAATAATGTGTGGTTAAAAGTGATATATGCAATTCATATCGAACTTAGAATGGCATGATGGAAAGTGGTCGTAGAATACCGACGGATCTGACAAATATTACATATATATCGAGAATACCGACGGATCTGACAAATATTACATATATAGATCCGTCAGTATTCTACGACTATGACGATATGTCTATAAATATTAAATTGAATACATACGGTTTTCTGCAATAAAAATACAATTTCAGTATGTAACAATAGAATTAGTTAGTTTATTTTTTTTTCTTCGTAAATAATATTATAAACGTTAAAGTGATAATGCTTGTTTATTTATTACCTCTTAACATCTTAACAATTCAACCATTCGTTATAAAATTTGATGTACATGTAGTATTTGGAATGTAGAAGGATATAGAATCGTGTTTTACAGGATTATTTACTCATATCTGGATTAATTAACATATTATTGTCCCGATTACACCAAATCGCGCATAAAAACTAATAGGTAAATAATATATCCACTATTAGCTTACCCAGCGCTGAAAATTATCAACTAATGATCATAATTATATATTATTAAATCATAAATTTATTTACACATCAATTACATGGAATAATTATAAAATAATAAAATATGCGTAAAACACAAAATTAAAAAATATATGTACATACCTCACTCTGTAAGATAAAAATTATAATTATTATTTAAATAATATAAAACAAAATTATATTAATAAAAGTTACAAATAGGTACTTACGTGAACTTCCTATTAATGAAAGAATTAACATTATTATTATTATTTACTTCATAAAATGTTCAATAAATAAATAGGTATTATGTAAAATGAAAATTGTATAAATTAATAATATGTATGTATTTTGATTTTAATTATATG